TTTTGTCCACTTCATTGGGTTGACTTAAATAAGAACTAAGAATTCAAAAACTTATTAAAAGCTTTCATCAAATTGAACTCAAGTCAAATTCTTCTTAGTGAGCTAAACCGGACATAAAAGCAGCGCAGAGCCTGAGGAGGATTGGGTTGAGTTGGTTTTGGTCGCGCACAACACGTTAGGCTTCTGCCTTTGGTTTCCCGCCACACGCCCCGTTTTCGCCGTTGAAATGCTGAGTAGTTAATTGTCAATTTGTGCACTCTGATTAAGAATTTATGAGCATTTCATAGAGAGATTGCTTTAAACAATGTAAACTTTTCTTTCGAATTTTGTCGTCCGCCATGATCGATTCAGTACAAGTCCATTTTGTTTCTTACAGAAATATTATTTACTTGGATGTTAGGAATGCAAAAAAGAAACTGGATTATTTGGCTTTGCTTTTTTGGTTTTTCTTTTTTTTTTTTTTTTCAAAAAACCATATTATAGAAACGTTTGAACACCTGCACTTCTGAATTAGATTCTGTTTAAGTGGATCGCGTTTCTTCAGATTAATTTATCTTCTATTAAAGAGATAAACACGAGGAGCCTGCCTTTGAATTTGTTCATTGCTTGGGAGAATAGGCGAATGAATAAAGAATAGGAGATGATTGATAGAAAGACAAACATTTGTTTAAAATCAGGCAGGATGGGATCTTTGCTTGTCTAGAAAGACGTTTTTTGTCTTGTCACGAGCGTGGGACATAGAAAAAGTCCTGAGTCCCCGTGAGGAATTGAACTTTGGACCTTCAGATTACGCGCTTCGATGCTCTACCACTGAGCCACTCGTTACTAAGTCATTAAGGTAATAAAGAGGTGTCCGCTAGTGATTAAAAGTAATTAGTGAATATAAAGTATTTTCTTCTGTGAGGCTTAACTTGGTACACAGAAAACTTTCCATAGCAAAGAGGTATCCATATTAGATTTGTCTCTGCAAGGAAGGGTTAGACTATCTACTGTTTTGAATAAAAAGCGCAGTAGTTTCATGCATGCGCCAATTCGTTTTGAAGAAAGCTTGAGTATTTCAAACCTTAATGTTTCAAACCTAAGCCAACCGAATTAAGTTTAAATGTTAATGAAAAATTAAACTACCGCGAAGTATATCCTAGATCAAATCTGAGTCTAGAAAAAAAAGTTGGCAGTTTTGACACAGTGAAGTGAAACTCAGCACGAGTTAAATTTTCAAGTTTGTGCGTGATAGTGCATTAACAACAGGGGAAGGTGAATTACAATACTGAATAACAATACATGTGAAAAGTAATTTACAAATCCCTTTCGGAGAAAGTTAATGAATAACAATGGCTAGACGCGATAAATTTGATGACAATAGATGTGATAAGTTGTTTTCTAATCAAGTCCACAACAAGTCTTCTCATTGTTTATATGGCGGCTTCCCTCCCACATTTGAGCAACACGTGCTATATAAAGACGTGAATCTCACAACCTGCCACTTAAGTTATGTGTTTGTGTTTGAGAACATCTCTTGGGCGAGCTGTGCACTGCAAAGTTGGAACTTCGCTCATCAGAATTCAAAAATGAACTCTAGGAAAGCCTGCAAGAGACCACCCTCGGAAAATGAATGTAAGTAACTGTAACTTATATTTTAGTTACATAATTTGATTTTATCAACTAAGTTGATAATCACGGTAAATGGACATCGTAAAGAGCTACTCTCCAAAGCTGACGTTTTGAGTGTTAGCACTTCGTCAGAGCGAATGGATAACTTATTAGTTAGACTCGGCTACATTATTACGTAATGGCGGTCTGTTAAGTAGTTCTGTGCGAAAACAAGTAGGTTTTAAAACGAAACTTGATCGTCACTCACTTTGTTAAAGTCAACTCTTCTCTTCATAAAATCATTCGCGCATTTGCAGGAATTTTGAGTTTCTCAGTATAGTTCCATGAGGACAGTGCTATCTTAAGTTTGTAATACTTTGAAATCACGATTTTGCAAGGAAATGAATTGGCGAAGACGCATCTGCGGTGCTTAAACCATTTCAGTTACGCTTTTGCAAAATGCATACACTTATTTTTCTCGTAAAGTGGTTTTGGATTGTAATTAATTTTAATGATTCTAAAGTGACACATTCGTCGCAATTATTTTGCAAGGCGCGTAAATGGGTAATAAGATCACGTGAACCTCAATAGTCTTATTCTTACGTTCCTGTAAAGACACACAAGAATAATTCACTACTTCAGAGGTTCGTTGCAAAGCGAATAAAACTTTTATTTTCATGTTTCCCCAAGATGATCAACTTCGAAAAAGGCGACGAAGAACCGCATTTACTGACGAACAACTCAATCGAATGGAGGACGCATTTCAAGAAGAAAGATTCCCGGGTATTCACCTAAGAGAGAAACTGGCGCAAGAGCTAAACATTGGAGAGGACAGAATTAAGGTCAGATTGTTTATTCATCTTGGACTGAAAAGAAACTTGTAGTTTGACGCAAATCGTTCGAATCCAGCGATCAATCATCTGACTTAACTATTTAAGTGCTAGTTTGTAAGCATGCTGTTGTTTGAAGCGCTTCAGCAAGAACTTTTCTTCCCGTGCGGGAAAGTGTGCGGCCTCGAGCTACGCGAGGTGGCGAGAGATCTGCCATGATTATCAGTGCCAAGTCGCCGGCGAACTTCTCTCGAACTAGTTTCAAATCTTCCCACGGGCGGAGAAACGCGTGTCACTCAACGCTTATGATGTGGGCCTAACTTGGTGCAGGTGGAGTTCCCTGTTGGTTGTCTGAAAACGAAGATATTGCAATTTTGTTATCGATCAGTTTATCGACGGTTTTCTTACCGAGTTCAGCCATGTTTCTTCTTCTTACACTAGTTTTAGTGATTTACATGCTACACTGAACGTGAAAGACTTCAGCTTATGGTTGGATTACAGCAGCGGTATTAAGAAACGAGATCTTATTTAGTTGTGCAGTATTGCCATGCGCGTGTATTTTACTGATGTTGTTCTTCTTTTTACTTCAGGTCTGGTTTCAGAATCGCCGCTCAAGATGGCGAAGGCACGAGATAAAAAGCAAACCTGCCTCACCCCTCTCTGATTCCACAAATCGACAAGTCAGTAGCCCTTTTGTGTCACCAGCCATGTTCCAGCCGTCGCCCGCCAGTTTCCCGCCTTGGAGCCCAATCTTCTCTCCGTTTTTAAGCAGCAGCTCGGCTTTGTTTCCAACCAATGGACTCGCTACCCCAAATATGTTTCCCAGGCTTACCAGTTTCCCACACGTCGCAAACCCGACAGCCTTTCACAGAAACACTAGTTCACCGTGTGCCGCTTCACAAACAGTACTGGTCAGCGTAATGCTCAATCCTCGTGTATCAGCTTCAGTGAGCCCATCATTCAGTTCCGATTCCTCGCTCAGTGATAACCTTAAGACTCAGAACCAAGCCTCTTGCAGCCGGCTCGGTCAGAGAAGAGGATCAGCACTCACTGGATGATTACCTAGCTGCTATTACCTTTCTCAGCGGTTTCCAGCGGCAAAGTTAGAAGGACTATCGAGCCATTACAGAGTAAATCAGACATCAAAATATCAATTTAGATAAACACTTAAAATATAATGTTCAGTTTGTGATAATGACCACAAATATTTATGGTCATTATCACAAATATATTTCGCTCTTCGAGCCTCATATATTTCAAGATTTTTAAAGCACTGTTATTTTATTTTTACAGTTTCTATACGTGCGTCGAATGTGATACTCGAGACGTGATGTCTTATTCTGCAAGTAGTTCAAGTTATTCAAATGCACTCCTAGCCTCGGCAACTACTATTTCTTTAAGAACTCATACTCAGCGCATGCGCTTTACTTGCTCCACTGCGCTCTGCGTCTCAAGATGAAAATAACGAGGCCTCTTTTTCAAACGAGGCCTGGTGCTCAATCACTCTTGTGAAAATGAGTTTAATTTGCATGTGAATGAAAACTTATAATCATATCAAAGGATGAGCACCAGGACTCGTTTTGAAAATGAGGCCAATGGTAATTCGGAAATGGGCTATTAATAACTCGGGCATTCCACAAGAAACCCGAGTAATAATACCCCGAGTCAGCGAGATCACTAAAATAAAATTTTAAAACAAAAAAACTCTTCTTTATTTCAAGTTTTCTTTTTATAGTTTCCTTTCACAGGAGAATAAATCAGTAATTTTAAAGTTACAATTTTTTGGATCAATGTAAGAATCTACCCCTCAGGAGATAGGGTTAATTTGGATTGGTGGGAGGAGTGGGTGAATGGTAGCTCAGATACCAACACTAAAACCCAGAGAAATATGGATGGCAGGAAAGAAAGCCTCTTACAGAAATGAATCTGATACTTCATTGAGTAAGTAAAGAAAACCATTACAATTTGAATTTGGTTTGCAGTTCAACTACAAATACATAGCTGACAAATTAAGAAAATATAAGTTCTTATACTGAGTGACATTCTCAACATTTTTTTAAATATTTACTCTAATTCCTTTTGAAGAGACATAATTAAGATTTTAAAACAAGAAATACAAAATCTGAACTAAAAATAAATATCTTATAACTCAGCATCTCAATGGTTAAGATTACATTACATGTTGGTATGAATTTTGGTAAATAAGAAAATGGAATCGTTTGCAGTGTATCCTAACTCTGATACCCACACTTTAGACTATTTTTTTCCTGATGTTTTAACCCTCTAACTCCAAAAGTGATTTAAGATGTAATTCTCTCGATATTCCAAGATTATCAAGCAACCGGTAGTGAGAACGGTCAAACTTA